TTTTTTCGGTCATTTTTCTAATCGAGACGTAACTAAGGACTGCAAGAGCTACAAACACTAATAGCTATAATTTTTTCGAACCCGAGACGCGCTAAGGTAGAGTTAAAAAGGGGGTTCCCCCCGACCAACAAACGAAAATGTCGGAAACCATTTCTCCGAGAAATAAATTATAACTCTAAATTAATACTTTTTGCTAAAGCAAAAAGAAAATTCAAATAAAATAATCACTACCTTTCGTAATATAAAAACATATAATATTAATAAATATATATGTAAAATATTATCTTTTAATTTATTATAAAGACATATCCAAGTCGAATAATTTTAATACAATTTTCAAAACAAATTTAATACGTACAATTTCCGTCTTACGCACATTCAAGAATTATCGTTCCCCATCCATCATACCCCATTCATCATACACCATTTATCATACACCACTCATCATACACCATTCATCATACACGACTCATCATACACCACTCATCATACACCACTCATCACACACCACTCATCACACACCACTTTTCATACACCACTCATCATACACCACTCATCATACACCACTCATCATACACCACTTGAGGCCAAGGGGGGGGGCGAAAGCTAGCGCTCCAGAATGGGAAAGTGGAGGGCAGCGAGGTAGGAAAAAACACGGCGCTCTTTTTGGAGGCAGGGGTGAAGAGTCCTTTATATGTGGCTCTTTGCCCGGATCCTCCTGCGAGAGAAGAGAGACGGAAAGACGAGAGACAGAGAGGAGAGAGAGAGAGAGGAGAGAGAGATGAGAGAGATGAGAAAGAGATGAGAGAGATGAGAGAGATGAGAGAGATGAGACAGTGAGAGTGAGCGAGTGCGGCCGCAAGATACGCAACGCTAACCGCATGCCAAAGAGCGACGACAGGACGGAGTCGAACTTGCGAAGAGGGAGGAGGGAGGGAGGGAAGGTGGGAGGAAGACAAGGAGGAGGAGAGGGGAGGTGGGGTGGGGAGAGGAGAGAGGGGAGAGGGGAGAGGGGAGAGGGGAGAGGGGAGGAGGGAGGAGGGGAGAGGGGAGAGGGGAGAGGGGAGAGGGGAGAGGGGAGGAGGGGGAAAAATCAGGGGTTAGGATTTGCACCCGGTCGAAAGAAAGCTTGCTATCGCAAGAGTAACTCCAGCTAGCTTCGCTAGCTTTCGTGACTTATCATACACCACTTATCATACACCACTCATCATACACCACTGATCATACACCACTCATCATACATCACTTATCATGCACCACTCACCATCCAGATAGCTCTAGTTTCAAGAGCTCTAGCTCCAGTTAGCTCTGGTTTCAAGAGCTCTAGCTCCAGGTACCTCTAGTTTCAACAGCTCCAGCTCCAGTTAGCTAGTTTCAATAGCTCTAGCTCCAGTTGGCTCTAGTTTCAATAGCTTTAGCTCCAGGTAGCTCTAGTTTCAATAGCTCTAGCTCCAGTTAGCTCTAGTTTCAATAGCTCTAGCTCCAACAGCTCTAGCTCCAGTTTACGTGGCAGGCGCAGCACTTTGAACCTCGATGTGCAGAATTCATTGCAGGTGCAGCACTTTGTGGACCTCGAGGTGCAGATTTCGTGGAGGCACAGCACTTTGTGAACCTCCATGTGCAGATTTCGTAGCAGGCGCAAAACAAAGTGCGTTTTCGAGAGATAGCGGACGCACGAAATGCTGTGGTTTTTCAATAGAAAGGGTGGCTCCGAAGCCGGCAAGTCAAGCTTTGTGGAACGACGTGGCGAGACGGTCTCGGGCCATGCTCGGAATCGTCCCTCCATTGTGGTTAGAGTTTTCACTTGTTTCTTGACGCGCAGATTCGTGGCAGGCACAGCACTTTGTGAACCTCCATGTGCAGATTTTGTGGCAGGCGCAGCACTTTGTGAACCTCCATGTGCAGATTTCGTGGCAGGCACAGCAACCTCCATGTGCAAAATTCGTGGCAGGTGCAGCACTTTGTGAACCTCGAAGTGCACATTTCGTGGCAGGCACAGCACTTTGTGAACCTCCATGTGCAGATTTCGTAGCAGACGCAAAACAAAATGCGTTTTCGAGAGATAGCGGACGAAAGAACGTGCTGTGTTTTTGAATAGAAAGGGTGGCTCCGAAGATGGCAAGTAAAGCTTTGCGGAACGACGTGTGCGAGACGGTCTCGTGTCATGCTCGGAATCGTCCCTCCATTGTGGTTAGAGCTTTCACTGGTTTCTTGAAATGCAGATTTCGTGGCAGGCACAACACTTTGTGAACATCGAGGCGCAGATTGCGTGTGGCAGGCACAGCATCTGGGGAGTCAGAAGCTAAGAAATGGCGACTTTATAGTACAACTTTAGTATGCGGAGTAATCTGGCGAGGTGGATGCTGAGAACTGGCGGCTTTGTGGTACAACTGTAGTACGCGGAAGAACCTGGGGAGCTCGAAACTGAGAACTAGCGACTTTGTAGTACAACTTTAGTACGCGGAGCAATCTGTGGAGCTGGAAGCTGAGAAAGGTGAGAACTGGCTACTTTGTAGTACAACTTTAGTACGCGGAGTATCTGGGGAGCTGGAAGCGGAGAACTGGCGACTTTGTAGTGCAAAGTGGCATGTCGTGGCCCCTTCTAAGAAGACCAAACGGACGATCTAACGATCCGATCCAACGGACGGTGCTGCCCCGCACGTCCGGACGGGCACGAACTCACCCTCCGTGACAGACCATCCGAAGTACGGAGGTAGCTGTACCCGGACCCTATATGGGTATGTGGTATGCAATCAAAACTGATCATAGGCACCGTAGCACCAATCCATCGGCATCCCCACCCTTCACCGCGCGGGTGACAGGGTGTGTCACGGTGTGTCTTTTCCAGGTCGTTGAGCATAAATATCCATGTCCCTCAGGTTTTTTGAATGATTGTTGCATCATATTGCATCTCCTAGTGGAACATGTTGTGTTCCACAAAACTCAGCATGTGGTGTCAGAGATATCGATTACCAACTCCAGGGCCTCCAGCCTTTAAACCTTAAGATCTCACAAGACTTGCCACGGAGACCGGTCCGCGTGCGCTCCCTAGTAGCGTCCTTGTTCCTAGTAGTAAGGCCATGAGCCCCTAGTAGCGTCCTGGTTGCTACTAGAAAGGCCATGAGGCCCTAGTAGCGTCCTTGTTCACAGTAGTAAGGCCATGAGCCCCTAGTAGCATCCTTGTTCCTAGTAGTAAGGCCAGGAACCCCTAGTAGCGTCCTTGTTCCTAGTACTAAGGCCAGGAGCCCCTAGTAGCGTCCTTGTTCCTAGTAGTAAGGCCAGGAACCCCTAGTAGCGTCCTTGTTCCTAGGAGTAAGGCCAGGAGCCCCCAGGAGCGTCCTTGTTCCTAGAAGTAAGGCCAAGAGCTTAGGAGCTTTATATCGCTCTTTAATGGTGAGCTCTCCCAATGGTGCTTGGAGCTATTCATAAAAGCTATTCTATGACCAGAAACTATTGTGATTTTGTTATCTTCAGCTTGAGAGCTATTTCATTGTTGGCAGATAATATCATGGAGCTATTCATGGAAATGCAGCCCACAAGACAGGACTATTCATAGAATCCCCATCTTGGAGGTGAGAGCTATTGCTAAAATTTCGCTCTGAAATAATGATTGGGGGGTGTTGCCCCCTAAGACTGGGCAGCTGCAAAAGGGGCTGAACAGCTGGAGGGACTGGATACTCATTGGCATACCAACAGCATACAGGAATGTGGTTGCAGGGTGCAGGGTGCTGGTATAAATATTGCAGATAAAACGAAAACTATCACACGTCTTCCCGAAGAAAATGCCAGGGTTGGACTGGCAAAGATATGTCTTCGGAACCACTTGAGATTCCAAAACTTATTATAGGACAATCCCCTATCAATCACTCGACTGCCAGCTTGCCCTATTTTTTGCACTCGTCCAGGGTCCACTGGGCTGGCGGCCTTTCTCGCAAGCTTTGATTTACAAAGCGCCCCAAGACATTATCCAGCCCAAACTATCCTGCGCTAGTCCTCCTAGAATGCTCGGAAAGAACTTTAGGGTAGGGGCCAGCCATCCTTGTGAATTAAGCTGAGGGCTAAAGTCTACAGTCTCTACTTTGGTAGTTTATCTGTCCAAGTGTGGTCTATCTGTATAGCCTAGCGGCCATGCACTCATCTCATCTCTCTTAATCTCTATAGTTCTCTGAACATGGCCCCTCCCTAACCCCAACAAAATGCCCTTCCAGTCTCGGCAGGGTCTTTGGAAAATCTCTACTCTGTGCTCACTTCCTACCACGTTTTTTGGTGGTAGGGTTCGCTGCCTTTCGGGATCTCTTGTTCACGTTCTCGTCTTGCTCCTCATCACCCTCAAGCTCGGCCTGAGCCTTTGGCACCCTTTTGCGCTTGGGAGCAGGCTTCCGCTTGTTGGGCTCTTCTTCAGGTGGAGGTGGTTCCATCCTTGACCTCAAAGATTCTGGCAAATCCGACTTGCTGATGCCGAGAGTGGCGGCCATGAACTGCACAATCTTCACCTGGGAAGCCTTAGGGTCGGGATGGTTGTCCGGGTTGATGAACAAGTCAGCTGCGCTCACCACAGCCAAGATCATGGCTGCAGTTGCCCGAAAATCCTGGCAGATTTGGTTTCTTACAAAGAAAACACACTTGGTGGCTATGGTCGGTGGTAGTGCTGTGTGTGATGCATCAGTGGGAGGCTTTTTTGGCCAGAATGCTTTGATAGGGCAGCGTTTGTTTGACAAAGTTGTCCTGCACGCTCTTCTGGATCTCTGCCACCTTCTCACCACAATCACCAATGTCAATGTCCGCGTGCTTGCTGGTCAAGGCCAAAGCACGAAGCAACGGCAGTGAGTGGCCCAGCATCTTGTGCGTCGACTCAATGCTTTTCACTTCCCTGGTCACCTTCTTGTTCTGATCGCTGCCACCTGAGAAAACCCAGGAGACACTGTCAAGATCCCAGCGCTCAATCGCACCCACCACAGACCTATACAGGGTGAAAGGACAAGGCAACCTAATGCCAGCCAATTCAATGTGGTTAATCTGCAGAACCCTGACCAACCTTCTCTCAAGAGGTCTAGAATCTCCACTCTAAAGTTCTGAAGTTTGCAACTGTTTTCCATTTGCCAAAGCGTTGGCTTTTTTGTGGTCCATGGTAGCGTCCAGTCCAGCATGTAAACCTACCAGGTCCAAACATTGCTTCATGAATCCGGGCGAATGCTAACTAATGCTACTTTCAACGAGAGTTCACCACGTGATTGCAAACCGTTCTTGCACAAGGTTGCACTGCAACCAAACCAACACGTAGCAAACCTTCCTCAACAAAGTTTTGTGTGTTTTTTTTGCCTGACTGTGTTTGGTGTTGGGATGCCCCATTACTGGCGCCTGTATGGTTCCAGAGTGCTATTCCCGCTGTTGAGCAAAACGTCCAACTTCTTCAACCACTCGGCCAGCTTGCTCTTGTAGTTGTCCATGAACTTGGTCACTGTGGTGCAGGACTCGGGGAGCGTTGTCTCCAGGAAGGACATGTCAAGGCCTTGGGCTTTTGTGAAGGTGTTGAGGTGCATCTGCAAGCAATTGGGCTCAGCATCTGCCACCAAGGACGTGTCCAAGGCCTTCTCACCCCAAGCGGAACATGTGCGGACTGCATGCAAATACTTGCCCAAACCAGTTGGCAATGGGTCTTTGAACTCCTTGTCCAAAAGGTTCATTGCCGCCTTGAGGCCACCTGCCTTCTCAATGGAGGTCTTGATGAAAGCAGCGCCACCATTCTGGATCAAGTCTGCCAGCCGGTCAGCTGCAGCCCGGAGAGAATGCAACTGCGGAAGTTCTGTTTTGGTGGCAGGTGTGTTTTGCAATGGCTGCAAGCCCTTCCTAATGCATTGCCACAGAGACAAAGCCTCCACAAGACCAGGCTGGCCATCCAACTCTGCAAAGTCCAGAAAGGCTTCAGCCATGGAGCTAACCAGGAAGGCCACTGACTGCTCTGAGTAGGTCCCTGTCTTGTCCACGTAGCACTTGGCAAGTCCTGCTTCAATCAATGTTTCTAGAAATCTAACCTCTCGCATTACTAATACATCTTTTGAGCAGTCGACAGTCAGTAATTTTTACCATGCCGTAACACAGTCAAGCCGAAGCTTGGACATTTCGAAAGGCAGCTGAGAAAGCGCAATCGGATCGATCTGTCCTGAATACCAGCATGGTGTAAGGTGGGAAGCGGCTTCATTTGACTCCAAGTTTGCAAGCGCAAACGAAGATGACCACTGAGCATCCAAATACTTCTGGAAGTGGGTGGAGCACTCCGCAAAGTCTGGCTTGGCAGCTGAAAACGCATCCAAGGAGGTTTTCAAGGCAGCTTTTCCATTCACAACATCGTCTGAAAGGTCAGCTGACTGGGCCAAGAGATGCTGGCAATCGGTGACAGATGCCAAACGCTTGAACTTCTCCTGCAAGGCATTCGATGGGCGGGAAGGAGCCTTCATTGCTTCAGTCACTTCTGACATCGCCTTGGCCAGATCAAGAGCCTTTGCGCACGCTGTCCTCTCGTCAAGCAAGGTCTTGGAGATGCCGACTGCATGCTCCCACATGTTCCTGCCCGAGTTTGTTGCGTGAAGGTAAGGGTGCTGATGCCATGGTTGTAAGGAAAGCTATGTTGCTGTTATTGCAAAAAAAACATCTGTCAACATTTATTAACTATTCCGATTCCCCAACAGCGTGTCCACTAAGAGGTTCTTACGGTAGGTGTAAAGGACAGGGTTCGATGAGGGTACGCTCTCTGAGCCCGTGCGTTTTGGCTGAGCAGGCTTGCAGAAAAGTTCCCTTCTGAGATTGCCAAGTGCAATTTCTCTGCGCAGGGTCGGTGCTTGACGGAGGTGCGCTATGACAAATGAACCATAGCAGGATGAAAGGAATATGAAATTATTGATATTAATATTACACGGCAATCTGCAAGTCCCCCCTCTTCCTGAATTACAAGTAAGGTCTACGCTTCTGCCTGTTTGGTGTGCAGTGACTGCCTTCTACTTATTCTCCTATTGGTCCAACGCTCGCACGATGCGGGCATCGAAAGGCAAAAACACACAAAGCAGAAATCCTGGAAATACAGTACGTCACTTAAGAGTAGAACATATGACAATAATATAGTCATAGTAAGAATCTGATGTCACTTAACCTGAACCTGTATACATACTTGTGGTCAGTCTAGGCCTACCCCTACACAGGTCAGAACTGTTCAAGTTGTTGGCAGAAAGCAAATCCCAGCGGCCTCAAAGCTGCGTTGCTCTTGAACACCAGTGCAGTGCGAGCTGAGTAGCAATTGCTAGACACGATAGTCTTGAGCTCAACCTTATCCTCATTGGACCAAGCTACCTGCTGCACTGCCTTGACACAGGCAAAGAACTTCTGGAGATCCTGCAAGATTTTTGTCGCCACACCTGTGGACTGATCAAGAGTCAATGGCGCACCTGTCGGAATGGCAGTCCTTCAGCCAGGTCTTGCAAAGGCAAAAGAAATGAAGCTAGCGATGGTACAGTGGGACTAAAACACCCAGGTTTTTTGTTTGGGAGGCATTGGCACGAAAATGGAATGCTTTGTATCTGCGCTAATACTACAAAAACACCGTTTCAACCAACTAAAAAAGCAGCCAGCAGGTAGGTTTGCAGTCCTCACGCAGTCAGGGGAGTACCAGTGCAGTGGGAGGCTTGCCAAGATGTTTTCAAGGATGTCAGGGGTATTGGTGCTTCTCAACTTGTCCACCCAAAAGTTCAAGCTGTTCACCTGCACTTGGGCTGAAATTGTTTTGGCCTCTTCTGCAGTGATTGTAGATGTTGGCACGATGCAGGAAAGGGCAAAACCATCAGATGAACCACCCGCAGTGCCCAAGAAGCAAAACAAAGCACGGCTCGAGCCGCATGTGGAAACATTCTCCTAGAAGGGCAACCGCAATCCATGCACAATGGCGTTGAACACGCTACTGCTACTGCAGTGCAAGACTACAGAAATTGGAACCTAGCGGTGCAGCAGCTGACCAAAGTCTGGCTCATGATGACTCATGAGTCACCATTGTGGCCTAACACCCTGGCACAATCTCATACTTAACTCAACCACGGCATATTCAAAACATTTCAAAAGACTCTAGTTGCACAAGTCCTCAACCAAGTACTTGGCAATGTCCGTCATAAAGCCCAGGGTTTGATCAAGGGACAAAGGAGCGATCATATTGGCCAGGACATCCTTCATGTCAATCAAGGCAGCTGCCCAATCGGAGCAATCGCGCAGGCGCTGCACCATCTCAAAGAGCTGAGAGGCCTGGTTGCTTGCGTTGGTCAACTTGTCCGCTAGTTCCTTTGCTTCCTTGTCTGCAACGCGCTGCTCGAGCCTGCTTGACAGCTCAACAGCCTTGGCGATCCTGGTCTCCACCTCTTTTGGCTTGACGGATCCTGTCCACAGGTCAATGGCGTGCAACTGGTCCAACTGCGCCAACACTGCCTTGGCCTTGTCCACAAGAGCTTTCTCAGACACAGAAGACCTCTCTGATCTTGGGGTGGCCAACCCGCTGGCCAGGTCAACAGCCGAAGGCGTGGGCACCTCTGACAAGCTAGGCGCTTGCTCCTTGGCTGGGGCTTGGCTGCCTCCCTTGCCGACCTTTCTGGGTTCTTGGCCCTTGCCGCCTTCGATTTCGTTTGGGGCAACCCAAACTCTGACTCGGAAGAGTTACTCTCGCTCTCACTTGAGCTGGAGCTGCTGGAAGAAGATTCAGCGGCCTTCTCATTGATGTCCTTCAGCTTCTCGTCGACCTTTTCCTGCGCGTTCGCAGGAGTTGAGAAGCAAACCTAGAACACAGTCACAGTCTGCCCATTAAAGCGGGCAGCCCCACGTTGCCAACAGTCCGGAGGCAAGCGTTTGCCAACTTGAGAAAAGGGGGAGACACGAAAGGGGAAGGAGAACAGGTGATTAAAATTTAGGTACCGGAAAAGCAACAGGCAACAACCCTGGTTCTTTGGGGGTTGCAAGTCAGAGTTGTTCAAAGTGCTGTTCCTGGCTCTGGACGTTCACCTGTAGATTGCTCCTGGCTTTCTCGTGAGCATCTGCAGCTTCCTGCTTGCTGTCGTGATCGACATGCTTCACCTTGCTAGTGGAGACCTTCTTGCCCAAGGTGATGACTTTTTGCCCTGGGTTCTTCTCGATCGCAACACCTTCTTGCCCTTCATCGTCCTGGAGCAGGCCAATGAATGAAACTTCAACAAGAGCCCCTTTTAAGGGGAAGGAAGGAAGGATTGGAAGGGCCTACAAGTCAACAATTCCTTGAGTCAATGAACTAGCCACAAGTCTGACTTGCCCAAACGAACCGAATCCTATGGTACTTCCAGAAAAAGGTTTCCAGAGGCTAGTTGGAGTTGGAGAGGACATATTGTTTGTATATTGTGTTTACAGTCTGACTGTGACTGTTTTGTGTGTTTTTTTGTTGCAGCCCTTGTCCATCTGAAGGCTGATTTGCAGGGTGTTGACCAAATAAGATTTCTTCTGAGAGAGGTTTTTGCAGCGCTTGCGGGCGTCAGCATCTGCATGCTTGTCAAAGTAGTCGCGGATGGACATCCAGATCATTTCCTTGGATGATGAGCTCTCATTGATTGCTCCATTGCAGGCACAAATGCCAGGGTCACACCTCCCTGAAATTTGCACTGACCAAACCCGAGTTCAATAAGGTGTACTGTGTACGCTAAAGGCCCAGCTCTGAGACTCTAATCTGAACACAGCATGGTGAGACATATGAGTTGTCAAATGCCCCGCCTCCAACTCACCCTACAACACCTGGCAAAAACAAAGCCAAGCATCTTTCCGAACGTCTAGATAAGACTGGTCCTCCTTCACCGTGTAGAGCTTGTAATCCACATGTTCGTGTCTGGGCTTTGCGCGAGGGTTCTTGCAAAGCAAAACCACGTGCGTCGATCTGAGCTTCGCGAACCTTGAAGGCGGAGGGTCATCACCAGAAAATGGCTAGCAGTGACACCAGTGATATGCGGGGGTATTGCCTGGAGGTTGCAGAATTGGTGGGTCTTTGATATTTGATGGCTGTTGGAAAAAAAGGCACGCTTTGATTCCCCAAACAAAGGAAACGAGAAAACAAACAGGCTGGGCCTGTCAGGCCTGTTACATCACAGAAACCCGCAACCTTTTCAATTGGACACTCTGAATCTGAGCTGAGCTGCTTGCTTTCCAAAGCTTCAGACTTGGCTTTCTCGGAAACCAAAACAGGCAAGGGAACATTCTTAAATGATCCACGGTGAATGTACAGGCACTTCATGCAGGACCCGTGGTTCTGCGATTTAGATGGCTGCACTGACATGGTGTGCCCATCCGGACAGTCCTTTCAAGCGCAAAAGGTCTGCCCTAATTTGACTATAGACTATAGTCAGTGATTATAAATTTATAGTTATAAATATACTGTACTATACAACCAGCCTGCCTATAGCTATAACCTCTCAACATCTTCAACGAGTGCCTCTCTAGGCCAAGGACCCTTAAAACACAAAGTGTAGAACTGATCGTGACTGACCCGGTCCTTGTCATCTGAGCCAAAGGTTTGGTGACAAAGCACGCATTGGGTCATCTCCTGCAAGGCATCGCCCCCACTCCCATCAGTAGCCATGCTTGACCCACGTCAAGGAAGCAAGGACGCAAACGGCCTCGTGAGCACTGGTGAGCCTCGCAACTTACATCGACATCGACTCATACCCCCGCACGCAGCTCCAGCTCCGTGCCTAGAATGCATTCCTGCTACCTTCTGAGACTGTGGCTTCTCAAGAAAACACAACCCCGAGACTCAGGTCTTCTTTTTGGGCCTCAGAAGCCATCCTACACCAGTCCGAAGCCTTGCCAGCAACCCACTGCCTGTCTACCAAACTTCCCCTAAAATTGAACCAAGATGGCGAACGTTTCATTGCCCTCTATGATACCTATGTGAAGGCGAAAGTTTGGGCAGGCATCCCTCAAAGGCTGGGTTACTTTGGCCTGGTGTTCCTGGTCTCGTTCAAAGTCGGCGCTGCAAAGTTCACACTGACACTGGACGCACGGACCACAATTTCCCACGCAAACAAAGCAACAACAAAAACAAATAAAAGCAAACGCTAGGCTAGACTCTATATATAAACCATAGACGCAAACAAAACTATAGACTAGACTAGACTCTACAAGAAAGGAATCAGACTGTTCACTTCGCATCCAACCACCTTATATAAGTGAGTGAGTCCATCTCCATTGTGTCAGCTCCAAGCCATGGTCAGTGGCCAGTGGCCATCAGAAGACCGAACTAATCACAGCACACACCTTCAAGATCGGTCTTCGCCAACATGAGTGCCTCATGCGTCTTCGAATGCATGATGTCAGGCTCCCACTTATCAAGGAACTCGTTGACATATTGCAAGGTGTCGGCTTCCTTGCCAAAAAGAGTGCACCGTTGTGAAACGCACTCCGGGTGCAAGGTCACCAGAGTGGAGTCATCAAAAATGGGCCCAAGGCGGATCCGCCAAACAAAGACTGGTTTGCCAACGGCAAACCCAAGCCTACACACTTCACAAAACTTGTTGCTTCCAGCCTGATTCTCAGGCAGCCAAATGAACACTCCACACAATCCTTTGTTGAAAGTGAAAGGGAGCTGAACTTCTCTGGCAATTGGCAAGTGCGGGTTCCATGGATCATTGGAAAACCCTCCGGCTCTAAAGCGAAGCACCGGAGACAGGTTGAAGCGACCTCCCCCCTTGCTTGGAATCACTATGCCATAGAGAGCCAAGCCAAGAAGAGTCCCAATGACCGGGGCTAACATGGCTTCTCCTGCAGCAAAGTCAGTCGCTGGTCACAACCTACTCGGTCGCAGCAAAGGAAGTCTCAACAATTATACAAGCATAGACCCCAAACAGCCTCAAAACGATTCAACGATTCGTTTAAGACCAATATTAGTCAAAAAACGATTTCTTGGTTCGCCCTACTTTCACCCCAAGAGCAAACTGCTTCATCAATGAATTTTTGTCGGCATTGGCACTGAAACACTGAAACATTTTTGGAGGAGCAGCTAGTATTCATAAATATGGGAGGTGGAAGAAGATATAGAAAACTAAGCGAGGATCAAAATGGCGGAGAGCTGCTCATTATTTATATATATGGGAGGTGGATGGAGATATAGCAAACTAAGCTCAGAAAACTGAAAGAACAAAACTTTTTGAGTGACCCTATATAGTTGTTTGTTTGTCCTTCTTGGAAAGATGCGGACGCAGAGCCGGGCCACAGAGCCCAGCCACAGAGTTCAGGGGCGCGGCCAAGACAAGGACAAGAGGAGGACAAGACCCGGACACAGAGCCGGGCCACAGAGCCGGGCCACAGAGTTGCTGTATACTAGGGGGACAAGAGGGGGACAAGGCCCAGCCACAGAGCCCAGCCACAGAGTTGACAGAGTCCAGGGGCGCGGCCAAGAGGAGGACAAGGCCCAGGCGCGGGGCCATGATGCAAGAAATGCGGGTCCCAAGTCGGTACAAACAGGGGCTTAAAGTTTAAGCCCCTGTTTGTACCGACTTCAGACCCGCCCCTGGCCAACCCAAGAGGAAAAATTACCACTACATTGACGTACGCAGGGAACTCTGCAGTCGTCATGTCAATCGTGCAGACATCCACTTGTCTTCACACACTAAAGCATTGCAGTTTTTTAGGCTTGCAGAATAGCGGACGGGCTATCACCAGACAGCCACAGAGCCCAGCTACAGAGTTGACAGAGTTCAGGGGCGCGGGCAAGAGGAGGACAAGAGGAGGACAAGGCCCAGCCACAGAGCCCAGCCACGGAGCCCAGCCACAGAGTTCAGGGGCGTGGCCAGTGAGTGTGGCCAGCTCTTTTCTTTCTAAGATAGAACCCCAACAGTAAACTGTTTGGGGAAAAATGAATTTATTCAATGCCCTGTTGACAGTGACAGTTTCGGGTGTTGCTCTCGCCTAGTGCAGAACACTGTGTAGTGTAATGTATGAGGACATAGCAACGCAATGACCAGTGAGTGTGTGAGTGTCACACAAAAATATTTGCAAGCACTGCGTCCCTTCCAGCAATTAAGTTCTCCAAGTCCTGCAATCCGGTTGATCTCTGAATACGTGAACCTTGAAATGCTCTCGTGCGTCAGCTTGCTGATGTCGTAGCCCTGGAGCGCAAGCAGGTCCTGCAGCTGTGGACTGCACCGGCAGTACCCTGACATTCTGGCTTTACACCCCTCAGACTATCTATGTCTACCAGTCTATGAGTCTCAGTCTTCGTGTCAGTATCATCTAGAGGACATCATATAACGTGTGCATTGACATGCATTGATTGCATTGCATTGACATGATTCCGCCCACTCTCCCCCCACTTCTGAACGCCAAGTATTTGCCTTACGTGCCTGTCAGTGAACACTTGTTTGCAAAGTGCACGCTGCCAACACCCAGAAATATTTAGTCTTTCCACGTGGCCTCAAAAGCCCCACCTATCAGACCACCCTCGTTCAGCTACAGTCCTGGCCACAAAGCAACTCTTTGGCAGCGATGTCGAACAGCCGGACATTGCTGGTCAATGCAGAAATCTGACTTGCTGACAAAGTTCGCCTGTCATAGGAGCCTGAGTGGGCCCAAGACCACCAAAGAAGGACTTGAGACTGCAGACTGCCTGGACACACTACCCCGAGCCCCAAGCCCAAACACGAAACAGAAAAACGGGTTGGGGAAAAAGAGTAGATTCTGGCTGTCCAGGGGCGGGCCAGGTCCACAATGTATCCACCGGCAATCGGATCAATGTAGTCATCCTGGACACGAGCAGAGAGCTGGCAAAGATGGGAAAACGATGGAAAACGTCAACACGGGACCCGGGAGTCACGACGTGTGCATCATGCAAGCTTGTCGCACAGATCGCAGTGCAACTCCGATCCAGATCAAAACAAGGCAAACGTTGGTCTCCAACAGGCTTTGCCAACTGCTAGTTATTACCTAAAAGTGCCCGGACGACCAACAACGCACCAACAAACAGGCGCATGCTGTTCCATTCAAACACCTCATCCTCGGATTGCATCAGTGCGCTCTGCAAGCGCAAGCGGAACAGGTCCGCGGTCACGCGGTCATTGCCTTGACTGACTTTCAGTGCTGCCAACATCCATACCTCACCTCACTCATCAATCCGGGTTGCGACAATGTGCTGTGTAGTCTGACAGTTCTTGTAGGTCCAAAGACCCAAGACTTTCAAGTCGGACATGATGACAAGAGTCGTCATCAATCATCATTCGGAAGCAGTAACCGGTGTGCAAGAATTTGAGAAGTGAGATTGCTTTGTCGAAGACAGTCGCTGAATTCTCGGTGGTAGAACTTTCAATCACAAAAAAAACATCCTACTCACAGATCCTAACAATGGGGCTTATCAGTCCGCCTCTGTCTTCTGCAAGGTTGTTGCAGGTGTGGCCCACGAACCTCCTACCAGAGCTCCTTCAGAAAATTATTTGGGTTTCAGGTGCTCCATTGGAGATCGCATCAGTGACAAGACCTACTTACTAGTGCCACTGGTTTCTTGTGAGTGGTGGTTGTATTTGGAAAAAGTCAGTTGCACAGTCACAGGGTTGGAAAGCGGGACGCTTGTGGGTTCCAAGATGCAGCACTTGTATTGAACATGTACAAATATATATATATAATATTATATTTAAATGTTATATACAGTATATACAGTATACATATAGTAATACTGATACTGTGTGTCCTCCAACTCTTGTCATTGTGGCGGCTGCTGCTTGCAAGTTAACTATCAACGTGCAACAGTCGAAGAAAAGTACCTTTTTTTGAGGTGTGAGTTCTGTGAGCATCAGAACATCCAATTCGGGGCCCAAATCCAACACACTGTTGCAGGAGTGGTATTCACAGGCAATCTCCCAATATGACAGACTGACGTTGGCAATGGTGAAAACCACCCCTGGCTGTTAGCATAACCCACACAACACTGTCACAACACACATGTCTTGTAGCCCATTCAGTAGTGTAGGAGCCGCGTGGCCTGTCCGTGTGTTGTACTTGTTTGTGCGTACAAACGTGAGTCGCTGACATCAAAACAACACCTGTAGTAGTGATACGCAGTGCATGTTGTCCCTTGACACCGAGTCAATGAATAGTGACCATCCGTACTTGTTGGGGGCATAGCTCAGAAAGGTCAACACACACAATTACCACAGTGTAAAACAAAACTATCCTCTAAAGACCCCAATGTGACTGTGTTTGCCGGCTGGTTATAGTGCACGAATTGTCTTTGCAAGAAAACGAGAAGTACAGCCGCCACACACATACGAACCTTAAGAGTTGTTCCTTTGTGCCTGAAAGGGCGCGTCTACTACAGGTGGTTTTAGGTTGTGATAGTTGATAGTTGTAAGGATACAAGTCACACCTCACATGTGCACATACAAAAGTCAAACAATCGAGTGTAAACATAACATTAAGTGTATATGATACATGAATTATCATATGTACTGATATATGTTCCACCCATATGATAGATGAGATGCGAGGTATTGTACTATGATGTAATATGTATGAAGCTATTTTATATTGTTGTACATGTCAATATATGATATAATATATGTTATATGTTTCAACATAATGTAGCATATGAACAACAACATGATAATGAGATGGAACGGCACGGAGCGGTTCCGAGCGGTTTGTGAGCACCCCCAAAGAAATAGCTCGGAGCGGTTTGGAGCGGTTTGGAGCTATTACTCACCCATCACTGTGCAACCCTGCGCCAAAAACCCGAATAGTTCGGAGCGGTTTGGAGCGGTTTCTAAACCAACATCGGTGAGAGATGGGCAACCAATGGCTCGGAGCGGTTCCAAGCGGCTTCTACAGGCCATGAAAAACCTATCCAAGAAACGGCTTGGAGCGATTTCGAGCGGTTTCTAGCTTCTCCTATGATGTCGTGTTGCCATTATTTAAGGCCAACAAAATCATATTAACAAAATAACATGACAAGCTAAGATAGGTTTCAACTCATGATTGTGATTCTTTCCCTGACCTTGATTGATGGTTCATGATAACCTTGAAAGACCCAGGTCGTGGCTCATACAAAGGTTTCGGTCTATTGAACCGAGAATCCCCTGAAACAATACCAGAACCGAGTTGGACCGAGCAGATAACCATGTGTTTGTCACCTGCTAGTGTCACCAACCCATCCCAAGTTGCACATGTCATATATATATATATATATAAAACATGGTCTAAATTACTTCTAGCCTCAGCTTCTGGAAGCAAAGTCCGAACAGTCCCTGGTCTTTAACTGGCAAGCACCCGAAACACTTGTCAATCATGTCCACCCCAACTGAGCTGGCTGTCTCCCTGCAAACTGCGAGCCAGCTCCTTTCACCACGCTCCTAGCCACCTAGCACGGCATCTTTGCTTTTGCAGCCAGGAATCCAGCAAACTTGCATAGGTGAGGTCTAGGACCTTCTTCTGCCTGGAATTCAGCAAGACTTTCTGCTGGAACGGGATGTCATCTGAGTAGATGCACGGGCCATTCCTCTTACCCAGCTTCAAATCCTTGGCAGCTTTGCGCTCCCTCAGCTGAGCAGCTGCACTCCGTCGACCATCCTTCAAGGATTACAAGAAAAAAGAGATAGCTCCAGCTGCATTCTTGTTCTTTTAGAAATGGCTCCGGCCCCTAGCAAACAGCTCCAAACCGCTCCAAAGGCTTCAAAATGGCTCAGCCCTTGAGAAATTGTTTGGCACCCAGTCCTGGGCAGGTTGGGGAAGAACAGGTTCCTCCCCGTAGGCTTCTAACAGAGACTTCACGTAGTCCCGAACCTGTTTGACCGTCGTTTTTCTCTCGGGAGTGTTCTTGGGCAGAAACTGGTCAAAAAGGTGATGGAACATCTTGAGATCTTCCACTGATGCCAAATTGTTCCGCACAAGGAGGATGTAGATCCTCCCTCGGGACTGAGGGATGTTCCAGTCAGAGGTCCTTACACAAAGCGCCCGAACAAATTCTGCAAACTTAGTGTAGCCTGACTCACTGTGACAATGCAAGACCGCCTCTGTGTTGTTTTTTGCGAGAACGATTTTATTAAGTTACTCTGATCTTTGTAGTCGAAAGCATCGCGGATATATAGTCTAGTTGCACTATGCGTTATTCTACTAAACCTACTCCGTCACGGCCGACTGTCTACGTCTAAGGGTCTCTTACAGCCTCACATGACTTACATTGTCTTACAAACTTAACTCTCCATCCGCACCGCGTTCTTTTGAAGGTCCCCTAGATACAGGCTTGTAGCGGATATTTTCCCCAACCAAACCTTGTCAACGCTAAGTTAAGTCATAATCACCGCTCTAAAAGAACAAGTGGCTGTACCCTGAAGATCTCTGCATTGGATGCAGGCAAGGCAGTCTTGAACTTGTGCATCATGTAGTCCAGCGCTGTCTGGCGGAAGGGCATTGGCCACACCACAGATTGAATTTGGTTGAACGCTACACAACTTCTCACCTTTTACATCTATCCCTGAACCCTGGAGCCTGATACCTTTTCTTCAAGGTTGTGCTAATGTGTGGGCCTTGAACCTTGAAGCGTGGTTGTCTACCTTCACTCCCTCAGAGTGACCACCATTTCGCATTTCATCCATGAGCCGCCTTTGGTTTCCTTGCACTGAAACATAAACAAATGGGACCATGAACGCCAGGAGTCCCAAAACTATTCCAGATTCATCTCTGCCTAGACTAAAGAATCGTGGAGTTCCCGTCCTCTCTATCAACTTGGTTTTCAAGTTGAAGTTGCAAGAACTTTGCAAGGTGCAAATACAGCAATACAATATATGCAGTGCAGCATCATACATATGTTACATATGCATACTGCATATTAGTATATTTGCCTGCTTTTGCACTAGAACACTGCGATCTAAAACTCATTCCATACAGTCCCAAAAGCGCTCTTTTTTCCCAAACTACTCGGCTGTTCCACATCTGCAAAAACCATGGTGACTCCGAACTCCTCTTCAGCAAATGCACTCGCGTCTGCTGTCCACGTGGTGATCCCTGGAAGACTCTGAGCATCATTCAAATGCTTTGGCGATGGCACACTTCTTGCACAGGCTGACTGGAACGTAGTCCCTTACAAGGGCCAAAAGGTGGACCAACCCCGAAGCAGCAAAATGATGATGTCACAATGATGTTTCAGAAAACATTTTTGGGATCCAAATCCGCAAGGAGCCTTTCCTACCCGAAGGAAACAAAGAGCTGGAGCACAGTGCGCTTCTACAGTGGAGTGCATGATGCACGCATGTGACAACGATTTTGTTTCTGTTTCTTGAAGGTTCAGAAAGGTGAAAAGCAATCAGTTGATTACCTAGGGTGCACTAGGTACAAACATGGCAGACTCGGACTGAGTCAACAAAATTGATTTAATAACTTACTTAATAACAAGAATCATACTATCAATGCAAAGCGTCCTTCCCCCACAATTCAGGCTCACGTGAGCGTGCCCTTTGTGGGGATCAATGTGAGGAACGTACACCACAGTTGAGGGTAGTGGTAGTGCTGCTTTAAGGGCTGCCCGTCTATCACGGAGTTGCTTGTCACGGATGTCATAGACCAAACTCGGAGTATTCTGCGCTACCTTGAAGCACATGTCGCACGAGCTGCCACGTGGTGACACTGAACTTTCGTCAGGCTCAGGAATGGCATGCGGAGGCAAGTTCTTGGAATCTTGCACCAAAGGTTCCGAAGGCTTTGATTTCCAGCGACAGTGACAAAAATAACTGACCTTGGGCACAGCATGAGGCTTCTAGCCTGGGCCACCTTCGCAAACCTTTTGTCCAACAAAATGAAAGATGCGGCGCAACTCAACTAATTCAAATGGAGAGGCACCAATACGCTTGCAGTGAAAGAGGCCAAACTCGTAACCCACAGGGCAATGACAAAAATGACAAGCAAGTCCCAAGGAAGGGGCGGCGACTGCTCCATCACACGTGTTACGTCAGTCACTTAGCGCTAGCAGAAGGAACTTGCCAGATCGTGCTGCGGCAGGTACACGCAAACCGAACCTATTTTAGACTTTGACAACCTTGCAGCCTTGCGTGCCAAGCCATGTGAAAGCTTGGCATCACCCCACAGCATACTGACATTAAATGAACATCTAAAACCACTCCTCGATTGCTTGACCCGCCAACACCAAGCTGCTTTCAACACAATCGGGAATTGGGAGCCTTCAAATCTGCAAAAAACAAAAGCAGCTTCCAAGCAACATGTTACATATACATATACCATTAGTCTGTAATAATATGAATTCTGAATATGAATATATGATATGGGATATTTAGAAAATGGCTAAGCTAGGCGAAGTAAAAATGTTGGGGCACTATCGAACGGGCATCGGCATCAGTTGAAAAAACAGTTGAAGCTTGGTCCTGACTGCAGGAATGTGGAATGCAAATTTAGAAAGCTGATTGGGCTACCGTTTCATTCTCATAGGGTGGCTCTACTGTTGGAATGTCCTGACCTGTCCAAACTAGTCGTGGAGACACTGCCTACTTAACAGCTTAGCACTTGGAAAAGATGTCAAAAAGCAATGGATTCCAATTCCGTCTACCTCTTTCTGCCTACGCATGGCAAACCCCACTGCTGCTTGAAGAACTGCTTAGCAGTTCTTGCAAAATGACTGACACAGCTGCCGCAATTCGGGCTTCTGAAGAATCTTGTTGCTTGCTGCTGCTTGTTGGCTTGGCCAGTAGCAATTCCAAACGGTGTTTGGCGTGCTCCACACACTGCTCTTTTCGAACAGTGGCAGCAACGCATGCGGAATGCAACCAGTTTGAAGGTCTAGTGCGGGAATGAAAGTAGGAGAACCTCACAGTATCCTTCGGGATTGCTGCTTTGCAAAACCAGCATTTACTGCGGCCAGACACTGCTATGGCACCCTGGTCGAGACCGATCTCCTGCGAAAAGTATGTCCCGCCTGACATTCCTGACCTTTGTTGCGTTTCATGATTTTGCAAGAACGTTGCTGTTGCAATCTCTTGCTCTGCAATCAAAGCTCTTGCAGTTTTCTCCTCCTCCCCGGCTTGGTTTGAAGCAGGCATAACAACGTCTACTTCGATTTCTCTGCTGTCCTTGGCGCACTTGCCTCCTTTTACACTCACCTTTGCCTTGGACTCCTGACTCGCCTGAGTCTGAGTGGTGGTTGAGCTCGAAACTGAATCTGAATCGCTTTCAGTGCTTTCACAGCTTTCAGCATCAACCTCAAGCTTGTCCTCAACTCCCGTTGCCTTCCGATGTGTTTTCTTCCCTTTCCCTGCCCCTTTTGATTTTGCTTTTGCTCCTGCCCCACTCCTTTTGACCTTGATGGTCGTCCTTTGTTTCGTGATTTTCGTTTTTGGCATGGCAAGCCCAAAGGGCAGCTTTGCACGTGGCTTTCTGGGCACGGAAGGAGCGTTGATGTTGACAATAAATGTTTTGGACACATTTCCAGGGTCGATGCACAATACCTTTCTTTCAAGTGACACAGACAAGTCATACTTCAGGACTTCTACCTGCACCTGCTGAAAGGCAGGGCCAAACCCACTGGTAGCCTGGCTTGCTAGCATTTGGTGAAACAGCTGAAGCGAAGTGCTTGCAACTGGAAAGCACGGTTCTGGAAAGTGGCAAAGCATGTCATCTTGCAGCATGGTGTGAAGAAGAACGTGGCACGTTGGTCTTCGAAGAATGGCACCAAGGAATACCAAATGGGATTCCCCGCAATCACCTGCAATGATGTGAAGCAAGTCACCTGTCTTGACAGAGTTGCCAACCAATGCTGAATGGAAAGCTACCACAAACTGTCTTGCCGTTGGAAAGAAGTCTGAACAAATGCACATACCGTGCTGAAGGTGGCATGGAGGCTCTGGAACCTCCAAAACTGCGCCTTCAGAAAGTAGTGGTTTGAATGGCGCGTGCAAAGCTTCTCTCAGAAAGGCGCAGCATTCCTCGTCGCTCTTCACAGTATCCAGCATCTCCGGCTTCAAAGCGCACATGCCTGTTGAAGTGAAAAATGGTCAAGCAAAAGCCGGGCTATAGAATTAATCTGCGATTTCAATTTCTTGTACTATCGCCTAATTGACAAACAAACATATGTCAATATATCTATATTCTCAGGTTTAAACGTATGCTGCGTTTTATGGTCAGCTTGGTTTGGCTTGATGGAATCAATGAACGCCGGCAATAAATGCAAGTGCCCACCACACTACGAAACTTCAGGGGGGAAAGAACAGCATGAAACAATTGTTGAAGGACAGGCATGCTGCTGCATCCCATAGTTGCATCTGAAGTCCAAATTGGATGTGACTCGGCAATTTTGTAGTTGTTGATGAGTCGGCACACTGCCAGCTTTTGGAGGGCGCGACTTCCCACCACTGCTTCCTCTTTGAGAGGAGCCTGCCCCTTTGCAGGCAAGGGCTTGTCCACAAGCTTTTCCCGAATACTGTGTTCATACTCTGCTTGCACCACATAAGCCGCCCGGTCCTCCTGCGCAGCGTTCTTCCATTCTCGAGAGAGAGCTTTGACTTGGGCCTTGTACGCCGAGGGCTCCAAGGATGTCGCTAATCCCTTCAACTTCTCTCTCTGGAAGATGTTCCAGCCAGAAACCTTGCGCAGCTTTCTTGTGGCAGCTTTCTTCACCCGCTTGGCTTTGTTCTGCATAGACTCTTGGCTGGTCCGTGTGGGTCGCAAAGGCCCTGTGCTCTTGTGGTCCTGGGCTGCCAGGTCGCAGGGTCAGTACACAACTGAAAGCAACACAAACCAACTGGATTCGGATTAGGTTGCTTGGAAGTTCAGACTTGGTCCACGACCCATGATCCTCGAACATCAAATAGTTTGGGCCAGGAAATGATGGGTTAGAGGGTATCGGTATTAGGGGGTAGTAATAGTAAGCAATCAAGTCCAAGAGGCTGCATACTTCAGGCCACTCCGCTTCAAAATGCCAGCAACCGCCCGCTTCTTGGGGAGAACTTGGTCCTCAACCCAGTGCTTGATTAAGTCGTGATCCCGAACAATGGTCATAAGCACGCTGCTTTCACGGGAGCTGCGAGGCCCCTTCACTGCCACGTTTCCTCGCCTGGAAGCTACTAGTTGTACTTGCCCGTTCTTGACTTCAACTGGATCAGAGGTAATGGGACAAAAGGTGGCTATGTCGCAAAGGATGGCATTGATTTGCTCTTGAGCTTCCTTCTGAATGGCTGGTGGCTGCTTCGATAGGCACGATGGGAAAGATCCCAAGACGACGTGAGAAAACTCAGCGTCAACGCAGGAGGAACAGCGCTGCAATTGTGTATGAAAGTCGTCCCGCAAAGTGCAAAACTTTGCAACCTTCTAGTCGTCAGTTGCGCAGTTCTCGCATTCGGACAGGAGTTCGAACAGCCTGTGGGGGAAGGACCTGAAGTTGTGCACAAACCGACGCCAGGTGTCAGTAATGCAAAGAACCACCATGGTAAAAAATGTTTGCAAGTTGGACGGTACAGGTTCCAATCCAATCTCCAGCATGCCTGCAAACCCCCCTTGCAAAAGGTGAGAGTATTTGGCCACCAAATCCATCCCAAGCTTTCCTGAAATATATTCTAGAAACAAACCTTTGGTCTTCATGGCTTTCTCTTGCCAGCTGGGATCGCTGCGGCCAAGAAGGGTGAGCTTAGCGATTTCTTCACTCCTGCGAAGGAATCGGTTCAGAATGCCATCCATTGGCTGAATGACCAAGCCTACGATGATGGCAGATTGTGCAAATGATGGCTGGGACAGTGCAGCTTTCACCTGCTGACGTCTTTTCGCGTTGCTGTCTGCAAATGAAGTATCATGCTCTGCTCCCAACAAATCATTGACAGCGTGCTCAAGCTCACCATCGTCCACTGACTGCTCCATCTCTCCAAGCAACATCCCGACCAGTTCAGCAGAGACTGAAGTTGATTCACTGCTGCCCGAATCGATGCACTCCAATGCGCGCACAAGGAGTCTATGAACATGACAGCCGATCAGGGCATAGCCAGCAGCTTCTGAATAGTATTTGAATCTATATAGAAGTGGCGGTGCAAAGCCGGCTGAGAAGAAGGGCACTAATAGTTTCAATGCTTTTGAAAGTGCAGCTTGGGAGTTTTCGCAGCACGGTTCTCCACTTGCTGTGAATTTGCAAAAATGTGTTACAGCAGTTTCGGCCAAATTGCCGTTGCAAAACTCCAAGCACTCAGCCAAAAGGTCTCTTCTCTTCCTGGAATTGCTCCAATACACAGCTTTCAATCGCTCTGCTTGGGCTTGCCACAAGATCATGTCTGGTGGAAGCTCCATCTGCTGAATATGAACAAAGGATGAACTTATGACTTCAGTCAAAGCTGTGGCAAGCTGCTTTCGAAAACTCAGTGTTTCGAATAAATGGGATAATCGGACTAGTGTAGCCCAATAGTGCGGGATGAGGAGGACTGCCGGCTTACGAATAAGGCATGTTTGGTGCATAGCGCACTGAACTTTTAGCGCCAAGTGACCTTTCGAAGTTGGGTCTTGCCTCAGCTGGTGCAGCATGGCCAGCTCTAGATCGAAGGCTTTGTGATTGGCCCTGAGTGAATCTCCGACGAACACAAACGTGCGGAACAGGGCAATCTTGGTCAGATCTGCATGGACCCCCATTCGCTGAAACAGCTTTCCCACACCCTGGGAAGTGACAATGGCAGATTCTGCAAAAGACAAGTGAATGCTTTCAGCGGTTGGAGATTCCAAAACAATGAGAGGTGTGGGCACCCTCGCACTGGTCACCTGATCCGAAGCAGCACTGGCTCGAATGTGCAAGGACTGTACTGAGTTCATGACTGTGTATAAAACCGTTGCTGCGTTGGGGCCTCTCATTCGAACGCTTGTGTCGTCAACACAATGCACATTCAGGATATGAAGCGGAGGCTGATGCTGGCTTTCAACGAGGGCATTCAATCTCTGAGCAGAAGCTTCCAACACACTGGTGACAACTCGGGCGCGGTCCCTATCTAGCATGGCTCTGTTTCCATGGTATGGATTCTGGTACTGCACTCGGAAAAAGCTTGTTGTCAGGAAATGCTTCGCTAAGCGCTCTAAGTATTCATCCGAGTCCTGGGGTAAATTGCCCAGCAAGGACGAAGTGGCTTTCTGGCAAATGTCATTTTCACATTGGCTACCAACCAGCTTTCGGCGCTGCCGGTTCAAGCCGATCTGCGCTCGTGCTTTCTCCGTCCTGGCCAAGTTTTGTAGCCTATTGGTTTGATACCGCGGCCGCTTGTCATCACCATGTGTGCTTTCCGGGCGATCCCACAAATCGGAGATTGGCATCAGGCATCAGGCTGCTCAAAAAACATGCTCCATGCCAAGTGCGTTGTTTGCCTTTGTTCCGCTCTTGTTGCTTGCTGCTTTCTGCTTGATGTTCAGTCACTGCAATGGCAACTTTGCTTCTTGTTCGAATGTCCTGACTCATACATTGTGCCTTGAGTCTGCGCTCTTGCTCGGCGAAAACAGAATCACAGTATCAGTTTTCACTGATTTGACTGACCAGCAAAGCAGCAAATAATTTACCTTGTGCCCTTGCGTGTGGTTCTAACAAGTCTTTAGTGTTTTGCAGGGTCCCCTCCAGGCCTTGTGACCGGTTGCCTCCTCCAAACCAGGGAAGGTGTCCTCGATTGATTGCACCTGCGTTGCCAACCACAAAATGGCAAGGTCAAAATGAAGAGTGCGCGCGTTAGTAGGAGTGGGTTTCTAATGACGGCGTACCGCCTACCTCTAACAATCTCTAGCAAGTGCGTTGCTCCTAATGTTCGTTCTTAAATTTGAACTGTGACCCAACTGTTAGAAAGTTCGCTCGCCTAGCTTGCGCCACGCCCTACGATGACCCTATAGGACAGCCTGTCTATACTGATTCTTATCATGGCCGAGTCTAGTTTTGACACACACGCGTCCAGCCCTCAGACTCAAGAAACAATTAACACTCACACCTAATTAGTGTTTGTTTGAGTCTGTCAGTGGAAATTCAACTTGCTTTCGCTAACACTTTGGGCCCTATCAAAGTTGCAGGATGCCGGGAACTGGAAGTTTAGGCTTAGGGCGTTTATATAAGTAAAGGAACTTTAGCCGAGTTGCAGGGAGCCTGAAACCCTTATTTAAACGTCCTAAACCCCAAAGGATGTTCAACTAAGGGAACTTTAAGCCAGCTTTTTTCATGTCATGTCGGGCACTAAATCCTTATTTAAACGTCCCAACCCCTAACCAAGACAAGGTTTTACATGCCGGGGCCTGACACCCTAGCTCGGGCTTCGCGCCCTTACTTCATCGTTGCTATTAAACAATTTAGGGATTCATTTAGGGCGTTTCCGTTTAAGTAATGTTCGGGGCCCGACATTTAAGACCTTGTCTTGGGTAGGGTTTGGCCACTACCTGCTCCTAAAACCTAGCCTAAACACTGAAAGTGTTTTGGCTTAGGACTTAGGAGCGGGGTTTCGGGCCCCGAAACTATAAAGCCTCGACTTGGCTAGGGTTTGGGCCACTAGCGACTCTTAAACCCTAGACCCTTTAGGGGGTTAGGGTTTTGGGCCCGGACATTAAAAACCTTTACTTGGCTAGGGTTTGGGACCAGCCGCTCAGCCTACAAATTCTAGGGTTTAGGAACGGGGGCTAGGGTTTCTGGCCCGGGCATGTTAAAACCTTTTTCTTCGCTAGGGTTTCGGGCACTAGCCGCTCCTAAGCCCTAAAAATTTTATGGCTTAGGTTTAGGAACGGGGGCTAGGGTTTCGGGCCCCGACATTTAAATTATACAAGCATAGACACCAAACAGCCTCAAAACGATTCAACGATTCGTTTAAGACCAATATTAGTCAAAAACGATTTCTTGGTTCGCCCTACTTTCACCCCAAGAGCAAACTGCTTCATCAATGAATTTTTGTCGGCATTGACACTGAAACACTGAAACATTTTTGGAGGAGCAGCTAGTATTCATAAATATGGGAGGTGGAAGAAGATATAGAAAACTAAGCGAGGATCAAAATGGCGGAGAGCTGCTCATTATTTATATATATATATATATATGGGAGGTGGATGGAGATATAGCAAACTAAGCTCAGAAAACTGAAAACACAAAACTTTTTGAGTGACCCTATATAGTTGTTTGTTTGTCCTTCTTGGAAAGGTGCGGACGCAGAGCCGGGCCACAGAGCCCAGCCGCAGAGTTCAGGGGCGCGGCCAAGACAAGGACAAGAGGAGGACAAGACCCGGACACAGAGCCGGGCCACAGAGTTGCTGTATACTAGGAGGACAAGAGGGGGACAAGGCCCAGCCACAGAGTTGACAGAGCTCAGGGGTGCGGCCACGAGGAGGACAACAGGAGGACAAGGCCCAGCCACAGAGCCCAGCCACAGAGTTGACAGAGTCCAGGGGCGCGGCCAAGAGGAGGACAAGGCCCAGGCGCGGGGCCATGATGCAAGAAATGCGGGTCCCAAGTCGGTACAAACAGGGGCTTAAAGTTTAAGCCCCTGTTTGTACCGACTTCAGACCCGCCCCTGGCCAACCCAGGAGGAAAAATTACCACTACATTGACGTACGCAGGGAACTCTGCAGTCATCATGTCAATCGTGCAGACATCCACTTGTCTTCACACACTAAAGCATTGCAGTTTTTTAGGCTTGCAGAATAGCGGACGGGCTATCACCAGACAGCCACAGAGCCCAGCCACAGAGTTAACAGAGTTCAGGGGCGCGGCCAAGAGGAGGACAAGAGGAGGACAAGGCCCAGCCACAGAGCCCAGCCACAGAGTTCAGGGGCGTGGCCAGTGAGTGTGGCCAGCTCTTTTCTTTCTAAGATAGAACCCCAACAGTAAACTGTTTGGGGAAAAATTCTTAAACCCGGAGTCTTAAATTTTTACAGGGTTTAGGAACGGGGGCCGAGGTTTCGGGTTTGGAACGTTTAAGTAGGGAACTTTAGCCCAGACAAAGTTTTTAAACGTCGGGGCCCGAAGCCCTTACCTAAACGTCCAAAACCCTAAGCCGCCTAAGTTAAGTCTACTGTAAAGATTTGAGCGTATAGGGTTCTACCAGGCCAAGCCAGCCTTGCAGGTAAGGCCACCAAACTCCGGGACAGGCACTTGAACCAAATCAGGGGAGGGCGGGCGGGAGGGGCTTTGCAAAACGTAGCTGCCACCTGTAAGCTGCCCAAGCTCCAAACCAAAAGCTTCCTGAAAGCTGCAAGGACAAGAACTGAGCAAATACACAAGGGAGCAAGCAAGGAAGGAGGAGGGTTCGCACGCTGCTGCACTTGGGCAGCAGGCTGGCCGATTGCCCTTTGCACTGTGTAGGGTACAAGGCACCCGGCGTACATTAGAACAAAAGCAAACTTTAGTATATACAGACACGTGCCACAGCCAAATGTTTGCCAGGCTGCCTAGCAAAGGTCTTCGAACAAATAGTTCAACCTAAGCCTTCCTGCAAACTTTAGGAACCGTTTATGAGTCATTGAGTCCCCGAAACAAACCCACAAATTGGATCATCGTTTTGATTCGTATCCAAGGAAGGCATTAAACTGGCAGAGGATTCTGAAGTGCCTCTTCCATGATGCACACCTTGGGCCTGAAGTGGCCTAGGAAAGAGTGCGTACGCCAAAATGTAGGCGGCTGCAGGAATAAACGATCCAAAACTGCACTCGCAAGCGGGTGCAAATCATTGCTAGGCTTAATGGGGCGGCTGTGATTTCATTTTTGCCAACCTAGCCAAGAGGCTTATGTGGGTAACTCCGTCTTGGAAGGCGTGACTGTCGCGTTCATCCAGCGGGTTGTAGGAGCTCTAGTATCGCTTGCTGTTCAACCGGGAATATGGTGCGCAAGGTGGGCCCCAAACATAAATGTCCTGGCGCTTTGCAGCCTAACGCCATGACATCTGCAATTGTTTACATTGGTACACAGGGCTCTTGGCCTGGAGCTGGTGGTGGACTGGGCACCAAACAGTAACAAAAAACACTACCAATGACAAACATGTCTGCGAACCACTCTTTGACGTGAAGTGACTCTCGACTCCCCCAGCAAGTAGCCGGTTGAACTTAATGAACTCAGCGAATTCAACCCTGGCCTCGTTTTCTCCATCCAAGAAGCAAGACTCATCGTGCAAAAAGCAATGCCCACCCCAGGCCACGTTCTTCATGTCCATGAACATGTGCTCAACTTGGCAGTTCACGGCAACCAGTAGCAGTGCACATTTGACTTAGTTGCCTTTTGACTTAGTTCAACTTAGTTGACATTCAACAGTTCTATCACTGCAGGGAAAATACATCGGAATCTGGGAATCAGTGAAAAGTGGATTCTAACGTTTACCGTTTTACCTTACTTCGAGTGCGCAACTTGCGCCTGAGCAATAACATTCACAGGAACAAAGATACAACTCCCAGAAAGGCCAGGTTGGAACATTGTTGCAGTCACCCCCGGGCCAAAGCCAACAATGAAATAACTTCAGCTGACTCAACCTTGCGCTGTTCAATCGGAAGTGCTATGGATGCTTTGCCAAGCCTGTTGCAAACCTTCATTCAACTGCATGTTGTTGTGCAACCATGGCTCTATGAGAAACATAGTGAAGCTTCATCCACTCTCGCTTTCGGGCGCATCGCTCAGACACAGATAAGGTCTTCCATGGAATGGGAAGCCGGGAGTTGAAGTCCAGCCTCGGACTCAATCAATATCAAGTTCTTCAAGTCCACCAATGTTGCGACTGGACATTGGAACTACGCTCTTCTTGGTAACATTCGATGACAGCTAACATTGGCAGGGACACGCCCCCAAAGAAAAGGCCTTCCTTACCATTAGGAGTGGTTTGGTATGCCCGCATAGCAATGGATCGGCTTGCAGGAGAGGGCCTACCGTCTTACAAATATCTCGGGACTGAGTTGGCAACACCCTGAACTTTGAAGTCAAGTCAAGCCGCATTGCATATGTTGCTGCTGCCCCGCCTGCGCAATCCTCCACCAACTCAATCCTCGGCTCACATTAGTTTGGTTGCTCCATCAAGCGCGCAGAGCAGCCATTGAGACTGCACCCCAGTGCAACAAAGGCTTCAAACAAAAGAACGACTGCATGTGGGTCCAACCTTGTAGGGCAGTTCAACCAAGGCATAGTAGAGAGGAGGAGGAATTGAGAGAGAGAGAGAGAGAGGGAGATGACTAACGTAATATATGAACATATGCAACGATATGTACAATTGGAACTTATGTTCGAAAGACCGTCATATAACTATAAGCTTCGCATCTTGCTCACACACAAGAGAACATGTTGCCCAAAAGGCTGTAATGAACCTGCTTAAAAGGTAGGTGTCCTCTTCAGACTCATCAAGAAGTTCTTGTCCATGTCCTTGGGAACCTCCAACTTCTTCAGCAGGTGGTCAACATAGTTCATGAAGTTGGGTGTATCTGCGAAGTCGGACCTGGGAGGCTGTGGCACACAAAATGCCCGATCAAACAAATCAAACTTCAACTCCTCAAACCTTGGCCTTGCTGATCCTAAACGGGCTCCTGTTGGTCTACAATCTTGGGATCCCCATTGAGTCATTTAGTCTTTACTACAAAAAGCACCAGCCTTCCAAATGTATTGACTCATCTCATCTCTAATGTAAAATTGACATAAAACTGCTTTCAAGCTACTCTAGCAAAGGCGGCAAAGGTTCGGGCAAAGGCGGCAAAGATTCAGGCACGGAACTGTCCATGACTAAGGCCTGTTGCAAATCCAGTCTTGATAAAAAGGCTACGGATAAAATACGTGCCATCTCCAACTCAGCAAGGTGTGCAACTAAGCCTGACTAGGCTTTGTTTTTTCCAGCAAATAATTACACCCTAGCCTGTGGCCAGGCAAGCTTTACAAATAGTCCCGGGTTTTTGTTGGTAGGTTTAGAAATCGCTCCTGGCAAACCTAGCATGCCTCACCGAGAAAGCAAATAAAGAGGGAAATAAACATCCTAACCAAGAGCTGTGGTATGCGGAGTAACCTGTGGAGGTGGAAGCTAAGAACTGGCGACTTTGTAGTGCAACTTTAGTACGCGGAGTATCTGGGGAGCTGGAAGCTGAGAACTGGCGACTTTATAATACAACTTTAGTGCGCAGAATATCTGGGGAGCTGGAAGATGAGAACTGGCGACTTTATAGTACTACTTTAGTGCGCGGAGCAATCTGTGGAGGTGGAAGCTGAACTAGTGACTTTGTAGTAGAACTTTAGTACGCGGAGCAATCTGTGGAGCTGGAAGCTAAGAACTGGCGACTTGGCAGAACAACTTCAGTACGCGGAATAGGCTGGGAAGCTAGAGGCTGGGAAGCTGAGAGCTAGCGACTTTGTAGTACAACTTTAGTACGAGGAGTATCTGGGGAGCTGGAAGATGAGAACTGGCAACTTTGTAATACAACTTTAGTACGCGGACATCTCTCGTGGCTGAGTCATCTCTCGCGGCTGAGTCATCTCTCCCGGCCACCCGGCTCTCTTGAGAGGTTGGCCAATTTTAGCTAATTTGCTTACTTAAAAGTGCTCATTTCGATTACTGTCCGTTAAGACAAGCTATCACATCATAGTTAACGTCTAGCTCCAGTTAGCTTTAGTGGAGCTAGAGCTAGAGCTATGCTTCACTCATCACTCATCATCATCATCATCATCATTTGCTCTAGTTTCAATAGCCCTAGCTCCAGTTAGCTCTAGCAGCTCTGACTAAGGGACACGAGGGACACGCATGGTGGAAAGAACCGGGACACTCCTATAGGTCAATTTGTTCTTATAGGAAACTTCCACCGCCGGCTTGCCCGGGAACTACTTGAATAATATTAATATTACATTAGGCCGTAACCAAATTAAATCCAAATCATATATAATTTCGCAAATAGATCCAAATCTTATAATATACCGTCGTATTCAATGAATAAGTCGACAATATAAATTGTATAATAAGAATTGGATGGGATTAACAAATTCTATTTCTACAATTATTATACTGATTTATATTTGTTCAATGCGTCATGATTTGATTCCAAAGATTCAAGACCTAAAATCGGGTCAACATTTGCATCGTCGAATCCTCGACACATCTCGCATCTGATTGTTCCCACGTGATTGTGCCGCAAGGTCAAATCAAAGAATTCCCTCCTGAGAAGCTATGTCCTGAACAATTGTTGGAGGCTTGCAACTTGTCAACTTCCAATTAAGCAAGGTCCGGCATTCTGGGCATGCATATTATGCATCCTTAGCATGACCAGTACGCACCGTCCACACGGTGACCCTGCGCTGCAGGACACGCAACCGCCTCCTTTTTCGCGAAGCAAGACGACCGTCTCATGGGCCTCGGCATACCTCGCCTCGGAACCGGTGTGAAGGAAGCAATTTGCCGAATGTACACAGCACAAACACAGAGTCATGTACCCAAGAAAGAACCCCCAACAGTTGGCTGTAGTTTGATCCAAAAACCAACACTTAGAGGAATTGGTCATCCGCCCTGTTCCCCGCATTTCCCCGCATCCGCCCTCCGCACAAACGCCCTCCGCAAAAACGGTCTCGGCCCCAGCGGCCGAAGTCGCCGGGCTGTTGGAGGAAGTGGCTCACGTGCGCCAAATATCCTAAGGGCGAGTTCATCTGTGCACTGCGTCGTTCTGCCTGAGCAAAGCCTTGGAAGTCACATGAGTGGACGGTCATGTGGTGATGTGGACGGTCAGGCTGACACTCCATCCTTTCTCCACCGGTGGGATTTGAGTGGAAAACCCATCCCCCAAGAAGGTCTAAGGTCTCACCACTGGCGGGGTTAACAAGGCACCGACATAGTTCAACCCTGGCGGGTTGAACCGGGTGAATTGAACAACCATTAAGTCCACTATGACAGGTGCTCCACCAAAAAACATGTGCTCCACCAACTTAAGAAGGGTTCAGATGTCATGAAACACCGAGAACTTTTGGTGAAACCACTGATGCAGTCGCCAACATAGAACTTGGACATATGCAGAACTTGGAAACACATGAAAACACAATCCAAGCTTCCAGCCATGTCTGGGCAACTGACATCTGAGTAGGAAAAACACCAAGGTTGTTGGGTTCGATATCTTTTGAGTTCGTCAAAGCCAATCTACCCAAATCACCTCCTATATGGAAATGTTGGGGACATGCTACTGTTACAGTAACTAATCATTCCCATGTTGGCCTTCCGACAGGGGCAATCTTCCCCAAAGTATCTTTGTTGAATGGAGGGGCTTAGCCCTTCCATCCCTTTCAAGAAGCACTGACCCCTGTTGAATTTTTTGGATCTCTTCGCATTCGTCCACGGATTCTCGCTCCGTCCTCGCGCTAACCAAACGAAGGCACCGAAGGAGGGGCGTCTGCTATCGATGACTTCCTCCCACCAGCCAGCTGTGACCGAGGCCTGCGCAAGTGAACGGGTCCGGTGAAAGGCTCTCGGGTTGGGGGGGGAACAAGATTTGCGGCAGCCAACCGAGCTACTAGTAGCTCCTGGCCTTACCCCCCACAGCTGCGTCCTTGTTTCCGTGCGTAGTTAAGGCCAGGTATACGTTCGTAGCGTCCGATCGCTCCGTTCATAGCGATGCCCTTTCGTACTAGTAGCTTCTAGTAACCCGATCGGGTACGCAGGGGCCAACGGTCCAATGGTGGGAACTCGCCGTGCGAGCGGATCGGGTTTCTCGCTGGGTCGCGAGAGGCGAAGACAAGAGGTGCTTTGGGGAAGGCTGATGCCGAAGTCCAATCCTGGGGCAGCAGCCTCTTTTTCTTCCAGCCAAGCAATGAGTATAGAAAAAGATGGTGCCGAAACCGTGTTGGATGTCAATGGCAGCCCCAAACAGCCCGCCAAGAAACACACCCGGCACCATTTCAGCACGGGTCTCCACCTCTACGCAAGTGTACCCACGCCCAGCCGCGTTTGCGGCACTCACAGCTTTGAGGCGGGAGAGGAAAGCTCTGGCAAGACGTAGTTCTGAGCTTGCCTGGGCCATACAAATGTATGATCGACTCACGCAGCTGATGGATCGACTCACGCAGCTGAGTTTGATTGAATTGCCCTGGTCACAGTCACATGCGGCCCAACAACTCTTGGATTTCTCAGAGCCTCACGGGCAAGCATCTTCCGAAATCACATAAGTCGAAGCAAATCTCTCATATGGCTGTGGGTCACAAGAAAAGGATCAACCAGGATACCTTGGTTGACCGACCTACCTGGAAGGTCAAGCTATATACATGTACGACCGGTTGAGGTTTTGGCCCATCCCCATCTCTCTCCCCGGGATGGAAACTGGTGGTTTGAAGCAGCACCCCTTTCACGTGAAACCTCTGCTCTCACAGGCCTCGAGTGGCCAATTCATGGCTGTGAGCACCCGACATCGATGACTCTAACCCCTGTTTTGATTCAAACATTTTGTCGAAGACTTTCTGCCGGCTCTGAAGGTGCGGCGCCGTGAATTCATGATAAACGGCAACACCATTACTCCTTGCAGTCATATTGATGATGATGCAAGTGTTTAGCTTAGACTGAAGATTGAACCTGACCAAAAGGCCAAGCTTCCGGCAATTCTGGTTTTCCTCCCTGGGTCCACCAACGAGGCAGGAGGATTTCGGACCGCATCCACTCTTTCCGGATGGTCGGACCGGTGGCTCGGGAATCCCCAGCAGTTCAAGGATCAAACCCCCCTTTTTCCCCAAACAGTGTGGACACACTTAGGGGTTCTTACGGTAATGGAAAAGCAACTTATATTATACCTCACACACACTGTTTGGGGTCTCTTGCCGGGATCATGTTTATCCTGTTTCATCTGATCTTGTCCGTCCATCCTCCATCCTCCTTGCAACACAGTTCTGCGAAGCTCCAACATTGACAACAAACTATGCTGCGACACCAGCGGCAACTGGGCACGAATCTCCTTCTTGTCAATCTTCCCTGTGCTGGTCAAGGGAATCGCTTCCCAAACCTTGACTACTGCAGCAGCTGCGCTGTAGTCAATGCGTCCGCGCGGACGTACCAAAGGTCAACCAAGTGATCAGTCATGTCGACGTCGGATTATTCAAGGCCCCCCCCTTCAAGGTCAACAAGGTTTGAGATTGGAGGTATTGGAGACCACCCCCTAGAAAAGGCCCTGACCTGAGGATGGATGATGGTTGATTGGATTCTGTGCGAACCATGAGGCCTGTGTGAGGGGTAAGATTTTGGGAGTTGTTAGATGCTCTTATAGGGACTGTGGAACAAAGGTTGCTTTGTGAGAGCTTAGATTGGAGCTTGAAACAATGTTAAACAATATATATACTATTAATGAAACTACCAATGAGGTATTTTTGCTTTCTGGGGGCAAATGGGCTTGAGGATATCAGCTGGGCTTGATTAATAGGGAGGTTCATTTGTCCAAGGTGCGCATTTCCCATTCTAAGCCCAATCTGAGCTTTTGATGCCGGAGAAACATGAGTGTTGTTGCTTCAAAAGGTTTTCAGTTGGTCGTCCCAGGTTGAGTGACTCGGAGATGAAGCACAACCTCTTTTTCGAAGATCTCTAATGGCAAAACCTGCGGTTCGTTGGATTAGGCACGACATCCCCACATGCTGATCAACATCCTCTTTGAGCCCAATCACGTGGTTGAAATCAATCTTGGGCCTGTGCCCAAGATTCGAAACAATACATAGGCCTTTTTGAGGCTTATCGGCTGTGAATTCATGTGAATTCCCATCCCCCTGGAGGTGTGTATCGATACACCTTTAAAACCCCATCTTGTTTTTCTACCCGTCTGGTCTCTGAGACGGGATCGGCGCTTGGGGATCGAACCCCGATTGGATCCACCCAGTGCCCCCTAATGTAGGCTCTTGAGAAATACACCCCCGCCCCATTTGAATTGAACATCCTCTTCAAAAAGGAGTGTATTCTGGATTCTGGATTGATTCTGGATGTCCCTGCAGCCAGGTGATGCACCTGGCTCTTGGGCCCAGTAAAGGTGGGAGCTTGCGCGCAGCGGCGACCGTGCGACCGTGGTCTCTGGCGACGAGGGCGGCACCGTGTGTTGAAAAAGGACACATGTTCATCAGCGCGGCGCTGCGGTTGAGACTCCTAATGATCCCCACCGAAAGGGTGATTCCGGGGTCATCCATACCCATACACTCCATGGGACTGGAATATATGCCACCCCATCGACCCCCTGGCACCACCCCTGGCCGTTTTGAAGGCAGTCCGGCAGTCCCATGTGTCGCGTCTGGGATATGATTCGATGTTTGGAGGCTCTGAGGCTCTCTGACCACTTGCCATTCGGCGCACCGGAGCCCCATGGTCGCCGGAAGCCGGAAGCCCAAGGCACCAGCACATCATCCGGCAGCTGAAACTTCGCGAAGTCTGTCGACAAGTGCTGTCGCACCTGGCACACGGGAGCCCTGGCCCCTTGGAGAATCATTGTTCTCTACAAACAGGGGGGGTTCCACGTCCATGTTCGTGAATTGGAGTTTACGCATATACAGTACAGGAATACGTTACGTTTATCTGCATTTCAGTCAGGGGTTGCTCCTCTACTTAATTGACAAAGGGAGCCAGACCCCTTCACTCCGACATCACAAGGAACTGGATGGGAAGGTACAGTAGCTTTAGCTCACTTCGTTCATGTGATGAAGGGACGGTGATGAAGGGCACCTACGCAGTAATGCTGCCCAACATCCTTGGGCAAGTACCTCGGTGATGGGATCGTCCAAAAACTCAACGATTCTTTTTGGGTCATTTGGGAACCTGTTCCACTCTGGCCTCCTCCCGAAATTGCTCCGCACGTTCCTTCCAGTTCAACGAAATCCAACCCAGGCCTGGTGACCTGGTGTATGATGATGTCATGAGGGGTCTTGGTATGTCGAGGACTCGAGGTCTGGCACCCGGTTTTCTGTTTCACACTTTTCGCTGGTTGATCGTCACATGAGGTCACCAGTTTGATGGCAAGGAAGAGGTCGGGTCAGTGGCAGAAGATAGGTAGGGCCGTTGTTTTTGTGTGGCACCTGGGATGGTCCAACTCGGCCGGGTTTTTGTATGCCTTTGTTGATCCCTCAGTTTGCAGCAAGCCAAAAAGAATCCACCGGCGCATCTTTCTTTTCTCCTCCTAGGGGATTGTTTTCGTATGTTTTCGATTGTTTTCGTCTTTTGAGAGCATGATGGATCGCCCAAGTCGCCTTTGGGATTGCCATGGGTCGCTAACTTGCCACAGGCACCATCGAAACTCTGGCATTTGGGGGTGCCTTCTTAGCTTTCTTCTTGTGACAAGGGGGACAGGCCCCGGCGCCACCAAACCGTGGTTCAGCAGCTGCCATGGAAGATGCGAACTGTCTAGCGCAACAACCGCACCACTTCCAAGTGGCCATTTTGAGCTGCAGCCATCAAAGCGGTTGCCTCACTGTGACTATAGTCTGTCGCATTCGTGTCAGCTCCAGCCTCGAGTAACAACCGCACCA